GCCCAGCGCCTTCATTGTTTGTCCCCTAGGTTATAGCTATCATTGTAGTCTGATTACTGAAGCCTGCCTACGATACCACCCCACCATATGTGCCACAACCTAATCGCATCGTTGTTGGAGACACTACGCATACACCCTGCTTCAGGTATATACATTAGCTTCTGCTTTCAACAGTTATCTCTACAACACCCATGAACATCAGAGTGACTGAAAATGTAGAAGGCCTGAAAAATAGTAGAAACAAGTGGAAAAATCATTTCTTCAAAATGAAGGGGTGATATAGGGATGGCTTGAAGCACCAAAAAGGAAGAAACAAGGGGTCATTACATAGCAAAGATGCACCAAGCTACATGACACCATCCCTATATCTTTGTGGGATGGTTGGTGCATATTTGCTGTGTAATGACCCCTTGTTTCTTCCTTTTTGGTGCTTCAAGCCATCCCTATATCACCCCTTCATTTGGAAGAAATGATTTTTCCACTTGTATATATTAAGTTTGAAGAGAGAGGAACAAGAGGATGGAGACAGTTCCATAATTCACTGTTCCTGGATACTGAGCTGCTAAGATTGGGTATGATGGCTGAACTGCACAAAATGGAGTATATAAGTTAAAGTTGTCTCATGGATATGTCAAGTTCTATCATCAAAGGTACGTATGTACGTACGTAGGATTGTTAGGTGATGATATTGGGACACAGACAATGGTAATTGTAGAGAGGGGGTCCTATAGACAGGTTTGACTGTATATACCTCCTTAGTTCTTGTTGGTACGTACGTCGACTTCAGTCCTTGCAAGTGCGAGTGACCAGATACTAGTCCTCGCTGACAGCTACGTACGTACGTAGAGCACGGCTACAGACGTCCGACCGCTGCTGCTACGTATATTATACGGCCCGGCGGCACGGTGCTCGCGGCGGGGTTGCTCAACTATATAGACCCAAGTGACGTACATACGTACCTTAGAACCTTTCTATCTTATGCTCTTTGTATCTCATGCTCTTTTACTGTGAAATATTTTTTGTCACTTCAAGAGTAAGAGCAATGGCGCTACTGCAACAATGAACAGCGCACCAATTGGTACGTGTATGCTTCAAACTTGATAGGACGGGTGCCATTGTGGTTAAGGATTGGACAAGACAAAGCCTCACAGGTGGCATTGTGGTTAAGGGTTTGGACCTACAAAGCCTCCCCCCCACCTCAACGTTTGTTCAACATTTGTTCTCTACTGCTAGGTATCACTGTCTACAAACAAGAGGTGCTGCTGACCAGGCAGAGAAGATAAGCAGGAGGATATTCAGGTATGTTGGGAGGATAGGTACCGGTTGGACCTGTGACACCACTACATTTTTGTCAATTTTGTCACTAGCTTGCTTGGAAGGTAAAGTGTATTCTTTAGTCTTATTAACCCTCATTAACCCTGAGCTTCACTTCATGTTTTTGATGCACTTTGGGAATGTGCTATCTACTGAACGTTCTCCCTGCTTGCTATGAATATGATTATCTTATCCCTAGGCACCTTTGTCCCCACAGGAGCAATCTCTTACGCTGGACACACTCCGTTTTCTCTGCCGAACAACGGCACCACTATTTTTTTAAGAGGTATGGTGTAATAAGTGTGTCTCTCAGTATGGAGTTGGGCGCACGAATTGTTGCTGCACAGCCTATCCTTTTTCTGTAGCTATCACTGAATGGGAAAACACAGCAGGATGCTGAGGTACGTATGTTTGCTAGTTTGTTGCAAAGTTGAGAAGGTAAACATGTAAGTGTGAAGTTAGCAAGAGGGCCAAGGATTTTACATCAATGTATTTCGAAGGGCTGCAGTCTATTTATATGTTCTGCAAGGATATTTGCAGTATTTGTGAATGTACAGTATCGGTCATTACAGTACAGTACCTTACAGTACTAAAGCAGGTACCAAAACGGTACTAAAACAGTACCAAAACGCTACCAAAACAGTACCAAAACAATACCAAAGCAGTACTTGAATGGTGTATACAGTACCACTTAGACGGCCGGCAGACAGTACAGTACCTGAGGACCTGGCTGGGCCGTGGGTAACCCAGCGAGCGTACCGTCCGCCGTGCTGCGTGTATGTCGTGCGAGGGCGTGCCACAGCGTACCCCGACCAAGTGAAAAGGACCTCAAAGCTGTCTCCACACTGTAGCTTATAAATAGGAGTGCACCATAGGCCATGACAACACGACTCGATCGCTTAGCGCCGGAAAACGTCCGCGGTGCCGGTTAGTACACATCCTTGCACGATGAAGCACACTGTGAGCTACGCGTGAGGAATGCTGGTAACACGCAGTGTAGTGCAGCCAACAGTACCACGAGGGTATAGTACCACAACTTCGGCCATACTAAAACAGACCGCAACCTGTTACCAGGAATCCGCGGACATTACAAGAAAACACGCCTCTGGAATGTAAAACAATCCGCGCTAGAGAAATGTATGGAGTTCAATAGGAACATAAAATTTCTTGAAGCGTTTCTTGATGGTGTACCAACTCCAAAGAGATCCGAACGTCTAGAAGTCAAGAACGATGACTCGTCCACTGCCCAAGCACAAAATATTCACCGTCAAAATGTGTGTATATTGTTGCCTGGTGTGTATAATATACATCTGTAAAAGTTGCTCTTTCAGGCAGGTTTGCATTTTGTGTTGAGATTATAGACACGACTGAATGATTAAAAGTGTGCACACAGATTTATAAAGACAGGAAGTGAATCTCACGCATGCGCCCTAGTATCAAAGAGGGCAGCAGCAGCACTCCAGGTTGACTATATTCTTGTGCAGTAGTGGAATGCAAGTTCCAATGTGTATCACTGAGTATGGTTGTGCTTATAGTGTGAGCTCGTTAGGCATATACTTCACCTAGGCAACAATATAGGGATCGTCTCGTGGGCTCGGGGAGTGTCCCTATGCGTCACAATGTACATGTATGGAAGCTATGACTTATATATACCATCCCTATCTTGTCTCCCTTTCTTTTTAACAATCCCTATATGCCTCTTTTTTTAAATTCGCAGGATTTTTTATTTACTTGTCTCCACTTTTTTGCCTCTCACAAGAGAGATATGTCAAAGATGGATTATATCAATGATTATTATAATAATAATAATGATATAATATACAAGGGAGTACATGATTAATACGAGAGATGATGAATACAGTTAAATACAGTTTTAGTACTTGTAATAAAATACTTCTTTCTTTTTAAGTCCTCCCATTCCCCCCTTCCACCCTCTTCTCCTTCCTCCCCTCCATCCCCTTCCTCCCCTCCATCCCCTTCCTCTTCCTCCCCTCTGCCCTCTTCCTCTTCCTTCTCTGCCAGTCCCACTCTCTTCTTGCTCCTCTTCTCTTCCCTCCCCCTCTCTCCCCCTCCCCCTCTATCTCCTCCCTCTCGTTTCCCTCCCTCTGTCCTCCCCCCCTGCCCCTCCCCCTCCCTCTTCTCCTCTGCTCCTGATTTCCCCCTCCCCCCTCCCCCTCCATCTCCTCCCTCCCGTTTCCCTCCCTCTGTCCTCTCCCCCTGCCCCTCCCCCTCCCTCTCCTGTTGAATAAATAATTTACTCAAATTTTTTATCTTTAATGTACACTTACCCTCATCAATTCTTCCACTTTTTCCCTTAACATAATCACTTCCCTAACCACCTCTGCCAATCCCACCCCTGCGTTGGAAAAACCAGTATAATACACTGCAGCATTACTATATAGCTAGACTCACTCTGTTCCACTTGTTGTTCCATTTGCACTACACAAATGAAGTAATTTCTAGTCAGTGTTTATTAGTTTCTCAGTAAAACAGACCTTCTTGCTTGTTGGGCCATTTTTCGTGTTAGGCCGTACTTAGTGTTTTGTTTTTGGCTGGCTCGCACGCAGCCGGCCGCCGCTGCGCTGCTGGTCCTTTTCGCGCGTATATCAACGAGCATGCGGGCCGCATGCACTCTCTGTCGACGACCTGGATGTACGTGAGTTGTGTTAGTGCGCATGCGCGGCTTCGTTACATATGCACGTGTGTTAGTCTGACAACTGCGTGTGAACCATGGATCGTCAGTCTACAGACGATGCCCTTCGTCGTCGAAGAGAGAGGGAAAGAGAACGTCGTGGCCGTGAGACTCCTGAGCAGAGAGAGGCTCGGCTTTCTCAACGCCGACGTCGTGATAGGGAACGGGCAAGGGAACGCCTCGCCGCCGAAACAGCGGAAGAAAGGGAAGCACAACTAGCGAGACGTGGTGTACAAGATAGAGCAAGACACGCTGCAGAATCAGGGGAAACGGAACAGGCCAGGCTCGCACAGCTCCGAAGCTACCAGGGAAGACGAATTGCTGCCGAGTCCGGCGAGGAGAGAGAGGCCCGCCTACAGCTGTTACGCAGGAATCAAGAGCAGAGAAATGCTGCTGAGTCCGGCGAGGAGAGTGAGGCCTGCCTACAGCTGAATCAAGCGCAGAGAAATGCTGCAGAGTCCGGCGAGGAGAGAGAGGCCCGCCTACAGCTGTTACGCAGGAATCAAGAGCAGAGAAATGCTGCCGAGTCCGGCGAGGAGAGAGAGGCCCGCCTACAGCTGTTACGCAGGAATCAAGCGCAGAGAAATGCTGCCGAGTCCGGCGAGGAGAGAGAGGCCCGCCTACAGCTGTTACGCAGTAATCAAGAGCAGAGAAATGCTGCAGAGTCCGGCGAGGAGAGAGAGGCCCGCCTGCAACAGGTACGACGTAACCGACAACAACAGATTGCCTCAGAGACTCCACAAGAGACTGAAGCAAGACGTCAGCGTGACCGAGAAAGTCACGTGCAGCAGGCAAGTACTGCCACTTCAAACCAACCTCAACTTCACCAGCCAATTGTCCAATGAAAGATGAGCAAGTTCCATTCTGAAATGGCATCTTTGCAGATGTCCCTGTGCATCACTTGCCGTGAGAGGTTCCCTGCCTTGACTGTCCGATGACTCCATCTGGTACAGAGTGTTTGCGTTGTGTTCGGGACAAACACAGTCCTAAAGCGTACTCGTCACTGAACAACATGGACCCTGGTCCTCTGCCACATGAATTATCTGTAAGTCACAGTTATGGGATGGGAATAGTGTTATGATTGCCACACCTATAGCAAAGAAAAACACTATTACCAGATACTGTTTACTTCACATTTTCACAGGGTCTGACACAGGTGGAAGAGATGCTCATCTCTGCAGTGATGCCCATCATGTCGCTGTACAGACTGCCACAGGGACAGTACGGGTACACAGGACATGTAGTCAATCTGCCACAGGATGTGGCCTCCTTCGCCCACAGTTTGCCACGACTGCCTTCTGACCTGGATGTCATTGTTGTGAGGAGGGAAGGAGCCAACCAGACCCATCGTGACTTCGGAGTAAGGCGAAGTGTAGTTCACAGAGCTCTGCAATGGCTGGTTATCCACAACCAGTATTATCGATCCTTGGGTATTACCATCGACACCATGGCTTTGGAACAGCTCCCACAAGATGGAAATGTTTCTGACCTCATATCAGTCACTCAAGAGACCTCATCCTCAGACAGTTGTACCAGCACATCAACAGTTGACAGCACTTCTAGGGATATAACCAATGATACATTGTACGATGACCATCTGCAACAGTCATTCGTTCCTATTGCTGTCCCCATCAATGACGGAGCAGGAGGCAGTGCAGCAGTCAGTGGATCAGCGTCAATCCAGCTCCTCCTCCCACACACCTCTGATGTGGCCCTCCATTGGTGGAATGCCACTCAATGAGTTCACCACCGAGGGCTACTTCACCTGTGCCTTCCCCACCCTCTTCCCCACAGGAGCAGGTGACTTCCTCGGCCAGCGTCAGGTCCCAGCCACCATCGGGAACTACTTCAAGCACCTGATGCAGTACGATGATGGTCGTTTTGCCCAAGCATCCACGATTTCGTTTCTTTGCTCTCAACACCGAGATGCGACACCGTGCTCTTCAGACTGGCCGAGTGTACGTCAGACAGCACCTAGGAGATGGGCAGCTGTCCCTGGACGAGCTACGGGACATGGTGGGGAGACAGGGAGAGGCCTTCTCCAGTCGAGTACTCCACTACGCCTCCAGTCTGCGTGGCACCAAGCAGTACTGGCAACGTCAGAGGAGTCGTCTGCTTTCCATGGTCGACACACTGGGCCTGCCTACAGTCTTCTTCACTCACAGTGCAGCAGACCTCCAGTGGCCAGAGCTGGCTCAACTCATCTGCCCCAACAACCCTGACTCAAGGACTGCCAGAACCAAGGCAGTCATTGAGAACCCAGCCCTCGCAGACTGGTTCTTCTACCACAGAGTCATGGAGTTCGTGAAGGTCTTCTACAATGAAGTCCTAGGAGCCACGGACTACTGGCTCCGGTTTGAGTGGCAGCACCGAGGCAGCCCTCACGTCCATGGTCTGGCCTGGTTACCTGATACACCAGATGTGGAGAAGCTTTGCAATGGTGCCAGTGAAGCACTCCACACAGAGATCATCACGCACGCTGACCAGCTTGTCTCCACCACCAACCCTGCTCTCCTCCCAGACGGCAGCAACATTGCTGATGCACCTGCTCCAAAGTTTGATCCCCACATCTGCAACAAGGCATACGGGGACATCCAGGACTTTGACCAGGACCTGGCTGATCTGGTGGCCACCTGCCAGAGACACACCTGCTGCTCTGCCTCCTACTGCCTCCGCACCAAGCATGGCAAGCAGGAGTGCCGGTTTGGCTACCCCAAGCCCCTGCAACCACACACAGCCATCATTACAGAGGACGAGCCAACTCTCCTCACATCGAAACGATGGGTTAATCAACAGCTTCAACCCAGTCCAGCTGTCTGCATGGCGTGCTAACGTGGACATGCAGTACATTGTCTCCCGTCAGAGAGTCCTGCAGTACTGCACCAAGTACGTCACCAAGAGTGAACCCCGGTCTCAGTCACTCAAGGAGATCTTCACCACTATCGTCCGTGGTCTCCAAGAAGGCAACAACTCTCTCAAGGCAGTCCAGAAGCTCCTCATCAACACTGTCGGAGAGAGAGACTACTCCGCCCAGGAGACCAGCCACCTACTACTGCAGCTACCAATGTTCAAGGCATCACGTGACTTCATCATCCTCAGCCTCGATGGGTCTCGTGCTGTTGAGGACCACCTGCAGGAGGGGCAGCGTGCTACAGCACTCTCCATTGTCGACCACTACATGGGACGACCTGACTCCCCTCACTTCAACACCATGATTCTCCTGCAATTTGCCCGCCAATACTCCATGCCCAAGACCCTCGGGGCTGAGCCGACTCCCAGGAGAAGACGTATCGTCGTCATCCCTCGACCGTACGTCTCACCAGATCCTGCTGGTGAAAAGTATGAACAGTACTGTCGCCACTCACTGATGCAACACAAGCCTTTCCGCCAGATAGACGACCTACTCTCAGGGTGTGACACTTACATCGATGCCTATGCTGCATTCCTGCAATCTGGCCAGATCCCTCCCTGCCTGGAGGATGACATGTATCATCTTCTTCAGCTCTTACATAGTAATGAAGATGATTCCGAACAAACTGAGGTCAGTTACTACATGTAATAATAGATGTAAAGTTCATCATCTCTTCATTTATACAGGAGCAAGAGGAAGAACAAACCACTTCTCCACCATCACGAGTAACGGAAGAGTGGATGTTGATCTGTCGCCAGAATGCAGACATGCAGCCCAGCATGGACACCCAGGAGGACATTGACTGGACCGAGGCTGCACAGTCATATCCCAACATCGATGAGGCTCCGTCCTTCATTGCTCAGCAGAGACAGGCAGCGGGACAACATGTCTTCACAACCGCAGCTAACCCAGCCAACCTACAGGGAAAGCAGCTGCAGGTGTACACAATCGTCCAGCAGCATCACTCTGCCAACAGTCCTCAGCCCCTCAGGATGATAGTCTCTGGCACAGCTGGCACAGGGAAGTCCTACCTAACCCACTGTCTCCGACTTCTCCTTCAGCATCAGGTCATGGTTGCAGCTCCAACTTGTGTGGCTGCCTTCAACATTGATGGCCGCACCCTCCACTCTCTCCTCAGTCTGCCCACCAGAGGAGAGTTTAAAGATCTGGAGGGAGAGAGACTCACCAAGCTCCAACAGGCCTTCTCACAAGTCAAGTACCTGATCATCGATGAGATGTTGATGGTGGGGAGGAAGATCTTCGGCCAAGTGGACAGACGTCTTCGCCAGGCCTTCCCTCACCACTCCCAGGAGGTCTTTGGAGGATGCTCCTGTCTTCTCTTTGGAGACTTCGGCCAACTTCCTCCAGTCATGGACCTTCCCCTCTACACCACTGACACTCGCTCAGAACTCTCTGATCAGGGGAGAGCTGCCTACCAGACTGCTATCTCTGAATTGATCTATACCAACGTTGTCTGAAGGAAGAGACAAGAAGAACACACCAGACTGCTATCCCTGGATTCAACCTCATCTTACCTTCTGCCCACAGCACACCTTCCATTGAAAGATAAGTTTTTTGGTTTCTGTATTCCCCTAAACTCAATACTACACCACACAACAGCCTCAAGCCATACTTAAAACAAGCAGCTTCATCTCAAAGTTTCACCTAACACATCCATCACTAATCCTAATTAGCTCCATCAGACCACTCACACGAATGGCGCCACCGACCACCCATCGGGCCAGTCAGACGAGTGGCTCCACCGACCACCCGACGGGCCAGTCAGATGACTGGCCCCACCGACCACCCGACGGGCCACTCAGACGAGTGGCTCCACCGACCACCCATCGGGCCACCGAGACGACTGGCCCCACCGACCACCCGACGGGCCACTCAGATGAGTGGCTCCACCGAGCACCCATCGGGCCACTCGAGACGACTGGCCCCACTGACCACCCGACGGGCCACTCAGACGAGTGGCTCCACCGAGCACCCATCGGGCCACTCGAGACGACTGGCCCCACCGTAACACCATATTCCCACATGATTCACAAAGCCCCAAGTAGCATCTTCACTTTATAACATTAACATCATCACTTATAATCTTATCTCTATCCTTTTAGATACCTGCTGATGACGACGATGGACGACGACGACGGACGACGACATGCAGCCCCACACAGACACTCTATTTTGTGTTCATGCCTTTGCATACATATTCACTGCACACACGCCTCACGCTACACGCCTATGGACCACAATCTCTCCAACCTCCACGTGGTGTGGTCCGGAAACTTCAGTTCACACTACTGATGCTAACAGGAGAGACAATTTAATCAATATCATTGTAAATCATACCAATCAACATCCCCCTTCATTTTGATTTTTCCACTTGTACCTCCTGCTAAGCTTTGTCATTCAAAACATAATCAAGTTTTCATAGTTCATGATAAGATGAGAAGTGATAGAAATACATGATGATATATATGAAGTGACACCCACCATGATACATGATGATAACAATGTGATATCTGATACTGTTCATGTCTCTTTCTCAGCCATTTCTTTCTTCACGCGCATCCTTTCTTCCTCTTCAACTCTAACCCTCAACTTTATTTCATGAATCATCCTCTCTTCCCTCTCTCTCTCCTCTCGCTTTCTCTTCTCTGCTCTAACTGCTTTCTCTTCCTTGTACTCGAAATATTCAATTTTTTCTCTAAGTTTTCGATTTTCGTTTTCACTTCTACACAATCGATCTCTTTCCTTAGACAAGGCTTTCCTTACAGATTGTACTTCTATCACCTTCTGCCGTAATAGCTTTCTCAACGACTGCTTTCTCCTCCTCCTTTTTTATTACTCTTCTTTGACACTGTACCTCGTCCTCCTTTTTCTCCAACTCTTTCTTCTGGCATCCAGCCTCCTCTTCTAACTTTCTCACTTCCGTTTTCAAGCGGTATAGTTCTCTTTGGATCGCGGAGTCCCAGTCCATCCTACGCTCTCTCTCCTCTCCTGCATGCAAGCCCACAAAACCACGTGATGTTTTAGCCCTGAGCACGCGCTTAACACGCCAACCACGTGATAGTATTGAGCATGCGCGCCTTTACACGCCAAACACGTGAAACTGGGTATCTGTGTTCAACGCGTCATGGCTAAACGTCGCTTGCTGCAGGAAGATGAGTTCGTTGCCATTGATGACATGCTTCCGTCGAAGCATGCTAAAGTTCACGGAGTTATAACATCAATCTCTCCTATGAGGAACAACACTACCGGCACTTCTCGATATTTCTCTGCGGAACTAACCGGAATTTCGGTACAATGCTGAGGCCATTCAGTTGTACACATTGTATACAACATGATGTATATACTACCTCAACATTTATGGCACCTCGACTGGCTCCTTGCATTCATGGAGTCAGTCGTCAGATCACCATTACTGTCACAGTCCTGTGCAGTAAAAAGAGTACAGAATTTTCAACTGCACGCATGTATATACACATTGAAATGTGTTTCCCTCCACCTCCTCCTTCACCACCATAAAATCCTCTGGCAATGTAAAACAATGGTCTTCTTCTATTGTTAATTCGTCTGTTGGTCCCATTTTAATCTGCATGGTATAGCCACTCACTGTATTGACAGAGAGCACAACGATAAACGTGCCCATAGCAAGTGCATGGGCACTGGTTGGTGGCCTGTTTCTAGTCCTGTGAGAGAGTCACATTGAAGTGATTGCCACCACTAAACACAACATAAACTGTGGGCCTCGAGTTGTCATGATGGAACCCCTCTGGGTCTATCACAGCCGGACCAAAGAAGTGGTACGAACCATTGTCATTATTGTACGAGGCAATGTTCACCTCAGCCAGGTGAGCAAATGCCAACATCTCCACACTTGTTCCCCACACACCATTTCGTCCCATGTGTGTACGCTGCACATATTCCTCTATGGTGTCGTCAGTGGGAATGTAGTTCTCTAGCAGTCGCCAACATCTCTCTGTTGTGAGGTGTTCAACTATCTGGCGACGTACCACATGGTGCTGACTTTCACATCCCGTGATTGCATACGACAGTGCACGAAACAAGCAGTTGCCATCCCCTCCCATGGATTCCATGCAGGTGGGCGGTTTTAGACTTACGTCAGGTCCGCCTGGAACACATTCATTTCCCTGAATGAAATTCAGGCCTATATTTCCACAGATCTGCCATTGTAGATCCACAGACACAGGATTGTACCTGCGTTCTGGGGGAATTTGCCCAGGTTCAACGTTGTACGTGAGCCTTCTCCGCTTTGTAGGCAACTGCTCGACTGAATCGGAGCTCCTCTTGGAACCCTCCTTTTCAGGACTTTTAGGAGGAGGAGGCTGCTGCTGGTGGCGCATCACTTTTTTCACTCCCAGCTGAGCATTTTCTGCTACGCTTTGCACTGGGAGCTTCAGTTTTCAGAGCGCCAGTCAGTTTTCGCTTTCTGGTCTGCGTTGTACACTGCCGTGGAACAGTGTACTGAGGCAGATCGGGACGGAATGTCTGTCTCAATCGATTGATTTCTTGCAGACACTTGGCACTGACCTTGATTGCTTCCTCTTTGAATGCAATCAGATGCAGGTTCTCCAGCTGCTTCACACGTGACAGTGCCACGTATGCCATACCTGGACAGAACACCTGCTCCGACAGGTCCATGATGGCACAGTCCAACGACAGACCCTGGCACTTGTGCACAGTGACGGCAAATGCCAGTATCAGCGGGAACTGCTTGCGATACACATAAACTTTCTTCATGAGCATAAACCTGCTCTTTACCCTCTCGACGTCGTGAGGCTGTGGCCTCCCGTCAAACTGAACAGTGATGTGGTGGGCTTTGATTGCAATCACTGTACCCACTGCTCCGTTCACGAGGCCACTGCTGACGTCGATGTTCCTACGCAGCATGACCCGTGCCCCGACAGCCACCTGCAGCACTGCCTCCAGGCCGGCTGTCAGGTTACAGTCACTGTTCATTTTTTTCCTTTGCTTTTTCGCTCCACTTGAAAGTGCCCTGTGTTTCGTCAACCTCGTCGACACAAGGAATCTCTTTTGGTTCGGAACCAAGTTTTGACAGCATGTCCAAGTTGAACTTGACATGCCTCACGTGTGGGGAAGAGGCACAGTGGAGACTTGTCTGTAGACATCAGCTCGTCAAACTTGTCGACAGTCAGTGTAGTCTCCTTGAGAGCCTGGAGAGTGTTTTGTGACTTGCACCCCCGTCGCACTTTGTCCACATGGAGCTGAATGCCTGGTCCTTCTTCTGACGTTCGTTGATGGTCAACTCGTCGTAGACCATGTTTTCTTACCAGATGTTGACCGACGTCATGCTACCAAGCTTGGTTGGTTGTTGATATTTTCAAAAACAGCTGCTCCAATCACTGGTGGGAGTTGCAGGATGTCTCCCACAAACAGAACGTTCACCCCGCCAAACCACTCGTCTCGGGCAAAGATCTCATCGAGACGGAGGTGAATGTACGCGAGGTTCAAACTGGACACCATTGACACTTCGTCTATGATGAGCAGTTTGAGCTTGGACAGAGACGCACGCATGATCTTCAGTGCGTCTTTCGCTAGCTTCCAGTAGCCAGCTCCTCTGCCCTCGTGCTCAATGGGCAGTTGCAGCAGTCGATGGATGGTGACTCCACCGACATTGTATGCTGCCAGTCCAGTAGGAGCAGTGACGGCACACAGTGTGGACTGTGTTTCGTCCTCCCACATCTTTGTTACAAGTGCACGG